ATCCACGTCCCAAACACTTTGCGTTCCCTGGAAATACCGTATTTTTCTGTGTATAAGACTACACCTATTTATTTTAATCCATAATTAAGAAATTAAGTTGTTTAGCTTTTGGGGGGGGGGTTGGGGGAGGTCACTTCCGCCAATCGCTCACCCGCCTGCCCGCCACTGCCGATCGCTTGCCACAGCCACTGTTGATCGCACACCTCGCCGCAGCCGCCCATTCTCTGCCCGCCTCGCCACAGCTGCCAGTCGCCTGCCCGATTGCCGCAGCCACAGCCAATCGCCAGCAGGCCTTGCTGCAGTCACCAATCACCCACCCAATCGCCACTGCCAATCTCCTGCTTGCTGCTGCCATTAATCGCACATCCCCCCCTCTGCATTCACTATCCGTGTATAAGACACCCAATTTTTGCCTTTTTTATTAAAGCAAAAAGCATCGTCTTATACACGAAAAAATACGGTAGTTTGTTAGGGCGGCATTCACACAAGGAGCTGATGATTTCCATGAGTTCCTGTGGGAATATTTCTAATCCATGCTGTGTCCGTTCTCTCTCCCTCTATGGTTTCTTCCTGAAACTGGTGCAGCCAACCAGCAAAAGACAAAGGAAGAACTGATTTGTCCTGCTCCTCCATTTGTACAATCTCTCTTCCTCCCTCCATGGTTTCTGCCCAAAATTGCTGCTGCCAACCAGCAAAACACAGACAAGTGTGGAAGTGGGCAAACTGGCTGTTCAGATATTTGAATCAGCCAGACTGGATTCACTTAACATGCAGTGATTGCTATGTGTTGGTGTTAGAACCTCTTGCTTCTCTTCTGTTTTTCTCTTTGGTAAAATAATAGAAGTGATTCCATTAATAGTGGCTGACTGGCAATGAAGGTGTGAAGCTAAAGCTGTTCCTAGTTATAGAGTAGGCCCACGGTAATTAATGAACATAACTTAGAGAATGTTCGCAACAGCAGTCTTCCTTCTACCCTGGACAGCCTGAGACAGGCCACTCCAAACTTCCTGGATCCCTTGTTAGGATATTTCTTACTCCACTTGTTTCCATGTCTTAGGAACCTGGTTGTAATCAACTGCTGAGTTAGGCCACAGTAGATGTGATACTGCAGAAATCCATGAAGAGGTTATTTTTCAGATTTTGGAATTCCATTGCATTCTGTTTCTATTGCACGCTGTGCTGAGTTTTGTCCTCTCTCGCCTGTGTCGCTGAGAACTCTTGCGCTCTCGGTCATTTGTTCTCAATACCCAGAGATGTAGTAAAATTTCCAAAGGTTGGATTCTAACCGTGTTATCTTGGTATGACTGCTGCAGAGTGCAGATCTGGCTGCCTTGGACTGTGGTAAAAATGAATGATTGTCAAGACATGTTCTTTAGCCATTCATGAAACTGTAGAACAGAGGACTTCTGTTTTATGACACTGGCGGATAGGCTCACATTCTCAGTGATGGTTGCATCTATTGCAATTGCCTGTTGGAATGAAAAGTGGGGAAACCTATTGGGTACTTTATTCAAGATGAAGTCTTCTCCCCAGGACCTAATTTTAAAAAGAAAATGCTTACCTAGTGGCCTTGGCTTCATGGGGAGTGCTACTACCTGATTTTCTGAGCTGAGGTGCTCAAAAGAAGAGATGCCTGCAATGTTGTTTACATGTGCTTGGGAGGAACATGTGTTTGGGATGGAGGGACATGCATGATATTACCCCAATTTCAGTGATTGTAGGATGCAGAGACCTGGTCATGGGGGACGAGTACATTTCTGAGCACAATTCAAAGTGTTGGTGTTGACCTTTAAAGCCCTAAACTGCCTTGGCCCTTATGCCTGAGGGAGCATTTCCACCCCCATCGTTCTGCCTGGACACTGAGGTCCAGCGCTGAGGGCCTTTTGGCGGTTCCCTCACTGCGAGACGTCAAGTTACAGGGAACCAGGCAGAGGGCCTTCTCAGTGGTGGCACCCGCCCTGTGGAACACCCTCCCATCAGAAGTCAAAGAAATAAACAACTATCTAACGTTCAGAAGACATCTGAAGGCAGCCCTGTTTAGGGAAGCTTTTAATATTTTATGAATCACTGTGTTTAAATATTCTGCTGGAAGCTGCCCAGAGTGGCTGGGAAAACCCAGCCAGATGGGCGTAGTATAAGTAATAAATTATTATCATTATTAAATTGCCATGGAAGAGGAGGCTATTTATACATTGCTTTTTGCCCCTAGCCAAAGGCAGGGTTCCTGGGTACTCATCTCCTTTGTGCACTCATCTGCTGTGCATTCCGTTGCTCAACAACAAATCGGTGCATAATAACACCCGCCCCCCCATGATTTGATTACGGATGAGGATATTGATCTGGCATGTATTACTGAGACCTGGGTGGCTGAGCTTGGAGATGTTGAGCTGACCCAGCTGTGCCCACTCAAATGCGCAATGCGGCATCAGCAGCAGCTGTGATCTGTAGAAAGTCCAGCTGTATCCCTAGGAAGCCCCTCTATCTTGGAGCTGGCTGTTATTGTGTTGTGGTAAAAAGGTAAAGGGACCCCTGACCATTAGGTCCAGTCGTTACCGACTCTGGGGTTGCGGCACTCATCTCGCTTTATTGGCCGAAGGAGCTTCCGGGTCATGGCTAAGCCGCTTCTGGCGAACCAGAGCAGCGCACGGAAACACCGTTTACCTTCCCGCCGGAGCAGTACCTATTTATCTACTTGCACTGGCGTGCTTTCGAACTGCTAGGTTGGCAGGAGCAGGGACCAGACAACGGGAGCTCACCCCGTCGCGGGGATTTGAACCGCCGACCTTCTGATCGGCAAGTCCTAGGCTCTGTGGTTTAACCCACAGCGCCACCCGCATCCCCTGTGCTGTGGTAGTTCCTTTGAAATGCTTCATGGGAAATGATTGATAAATGAAATAAAGATTAAATAATGTGAGCTTCCTGAATAGAGATCAGGGAATTATCCAAGGCTCAGCCAAAAGGAAGGTCTCATGAAGTACCTTTAATTTATGTGCATCTTTTACAGATCTGTGAGCTTTTAACTTGGATTCTGGAATGGGTGGCATAAAACCTTCCCTCATAAAAAAAAGAGAGAAACTTGCTCCTTTTTTTGTTAGTACTTCTGTAGAAATAAGCCTGCGTAAGGCCAGCCAATGAAACTTCCCTTAACAAGAGAATTATGTACCAGTGAAATCCTAAGGTGTGGTGTTTGGGCTTTTGTGACTAGTATAAGGAAGGAAGAAACTATGTAGGAAAATGCATTTGAGTGCCTACATTTTGAGAGATTCTTTCTTTCCTTTTCATGCAGTTGTATTTTGAAAGACAACACGATCAGATTCAAAGTTGCATTTTTGAAGGCTCAGTGTATTCATCTTAGATGGTTAAAAATATTAAAGATGCCCATTTCTTCTTTATTTTTGCATGTTGCATACGGCAGATGGTTGAATTATCCCAGAATGTGTTTCTTTTGATTTTTCTCTGCAAAAGGTCACTGGTAATTGTGTGTGGGTCATTGTTTTTAATCCTTTTAAATAGAGATGGTAAGTTCCGAGCTTGTAACAAACAAACAAAGTTCAGTCAGGCAAGCAGTTTTTAAATTCAGAGCAAGCTACAGAAATGCTAGGAGTAATCTTTTGTGCCCGTCATTTATAAATTACAATTAAGTAGTATATACGGTATTTCCCCCTCAAAATTAGACTAATCACACTGGGTAGTTTAGCACCATGGAGAGTGATTTCATGACTGAATATGGGTTCAAGGTTGAGGTTAGATTCCTTTTATTAGGCCTCCAGCCTATTCTGGCAGGAGCTGATTTCTTAATGTATGAAAGGAATGAATATCTTTTAATTTAATAATGAAAAAGTACTGAAGGCTTCAGAATCAGCACTGATAACTCTTTTGTTACAAGCATAATTAAATGTGAACTGACTGCTGTTTGTCCTCTGTGAAGCTCTGAAGTAGTAAGAAATGCCATTTCAGCGGTCATCGTTTTAGAGGACAAATGTGGTCATTTAAGTCTGTTCCACCATAGCCATCCGCTTTAATCCTTACTTAAAACAATTCCAATGATATTGGCTAGTATTTCAATGGGCACATGCAGTCCACAGTTTTTTGTTTTTGTTTTTTTAAAGTGAACATCATCACCATGTTTAATGTGGAAATATAGTCAACTAAGTTTAACTCAAGAGTAGACCACTGAAATGAATGATACTGACTAAATTGGGTTTGTTAATTTCTGTAGGTCTATTCTGAGTAAAACACCTCGAATAACACCTCGTGTATATTGTACCCAAACATGGAATCTATTTTCTGTAAAAGTCCTCATAGGTTTACAGCTGCGCCAGACATTTCTGCTGATTTTAGGGTTTTGAATGCAGATATCGTCTTTCCTTCCCAGTCCTGCACCTGCAATTGAGAAGAACCAAGAGGTCTATTTGATGTTAAAATACAATTGTGCATCTTTGGGGTTGCACAGGCCTCCTTATGTTCTTATACTGACATGATAATAATAATAATAATAATAATAATAATAATAATAATAATAATTTATTTATACCTCGCCCATCTGGCTGAGTTTCCCCAGCCACTCTGGGCGGCTCCCAATCAAATGTTAAAAACAGTACAGCATTAAATATTAAAAACTTCCCTGAACAGGGAATCTCCCCAAGGAAGGAGATTGACACCTGTGCTCCTTTTTTTGTAAATGGAAAATGCCTCTCTCATCCCTTCTCTCTTCCTGTACATCTCCAACTTCTCTGTTGAATTTGTAGGTAATTTTTAATTAAATAGAACACCCCCCCCCAATGTTCGAAATTAGTTCATTTTGCAACTGAGGATTCCCTGATTGCCTGCACTTCCAGAAGTCTTGTTGCATTATATGGTGACTGACTGAGACTCAAGATCAGGAATAAGATTGCCACTGCTGACCTCTGAGGAAGCAGGAGGAGAAATGTCTCCCTGCCCAACTCCCAAGAGACATTGATGCTGCGTCAGGCCGGCTGATAGGTGATGCGGGGCAGGCAGCCTGTCAGCTGGCCTTGCAGATCAGGCAGGCGGGAAGCCAGCATTCTGCAATGCAAAGTACAGGGTTGCTTCCTGCTTGCTGATCTGCAAGGCCAGCTGATAGGTGGTGTGTGGCACGAGGGCTCTCATACGTGTGTGTGTGTGTGTGTATATATATATATATATATATATATATATATATATGTATGTATATATATGTATGTATAGATGTGTATATATGTATATGTATAAATATATATGTATGTATATATATAGATAGATAGATGATAGATACGTATAAATATATATGTATGTATATATATTTATGTATATATATAGGTATACATATATGTATATATATATATGTATGTATGTGCGTGTGTATATGTATATAGATATGTCTGTGTGTGTATATATATATATGTGTGTGTGTGTGTGTGTGTGTGTGTGTGTATGTATATATATATGTCTCTGTGTGTATATATACACACACACACACACACACATTTCCAACAATCATTTAACATAACTTCTTATCTTATACAGTGGTACCTCGGGTTAAGTACTTAATTCGTTCCGGAGGTCTGTACTTAACCTGAAACTGTTCTTAACCTGAAGCACGACTTTAGCTAATGGGGCCTCCTGCTGCTGCCGCGCCGCCAGAGCACGATTTCTGTTCTCATCCTGAAGCAAAGGTCTTAACCTGAAGCACTATTTCTGGGTTAGCGGAGTCTGTAACCTGAAGCGTATGTAACCCGAGGTACCACTGTACAATATTTTAGACTTCCATCAACAACCTCTGAAGATTTTCTGTTCTTTATCACTTGTTCTGCATTTCTTAATTTCTCTCTTATTTTTAATTATCATTAACTAATCATTCTTTTCATAGCCTTCCTTGCAATATTTCACAAAACCCTCCTTACAGAACTTCTTGCAATCCTACTAGTGTAATCTGTTTATTACAATTGCTTTTCAGATAGTTCAAATATTTACTCCAGTCCTCTAAGAATTTCTGGTCCCGCAGGTTTTGAATCCTTCCTGTTAATTTATCCAATTCTGCACAGTCCATTAGTTTCATTTGCCATTCTTCTTCCGTCGCTAATTCTTCTTGCTTCCATTTTTGTGCCAATAATATTCTTGGCACGAGAGCTCTCAAGCAGCTTTGTAACCTGTGATCCAGGGAAGCCGGAAAAGATCTTCTAAAATGGAGTGGAATTCAGTTTACCCCTCTACAATTGGAGAGGCTAAGTGAAGGAAAGGAAACAGTGAACATGAAAGAAACCAGATCGGAGGGAAAGGCAAGTTCCTGACATTTCCGAAGGGCGAGACGATTCCCCATTGACTTGCAAAGAGCTCGCCTGGGTGCAAAGATCAGGGCCTCTTGCCCTTTCGCCTCTTTCTAGAGACCCAGCATAACAAAAGCAGGAGCCAAGGCACGCTGATCGCCTGATGGCGAAAAAGAAACATCTTACTTTGCTGATTGGAAATCTCCCTTCCCTCAAGCTTCGGGAAAGCGAGTTGCTCGCAGACAAAGAATGTGTGTGTGTTTTAAAAATATTGCACCTCTGCAAGGGTCTCTGTACAACCATCTCCAAAGCAAAACTTGGCTTTCCAAGCACTTCCAAGGTGATTTCCCACCCTCTCCACAAGAAGCAGAGGGGCTTTGCAGATTGGGCAGGCAGGACGCATCCCTTCATATTGCACTCAAAAGATGCAATGGATCCAATAGTAAGAAAAACAACCCATTTCTAGTGTGAAAGTAACCTTAGGGCAGTGTTAATAATTTATTCTCTATATAAATATTTGCACATATGTACAGAACACATGGGAAGACCTTCCTGGTGAAATTGATTTATGTACAAGCACACAGATAACCGCATTAGTCCACACCAATGCCTGTTACTACTGTTGGGAGAAAAGCAGTGACAAACCTAGACAGCATCTTAAAAAGTAGAGACATCACCTTGCCAACAAAGGTCCGTATAGTAAAAGCTGGTAGCTTCGAGAACACTGTCCAACCATCTCGTCCTCTGTCGTCCCCTTCTCCTTGTGCCCTCCATTTTTCCCAACATCAGGGTCTTTTCCAGGGAATCTTCTCTTCTCATGAGGTGGCCAAAGTATTGGAGCCTCAGCTTCACGATCTGTCCTTCCAGTGAGCACTCAGGGCTGATTTCCTTCAGAATGGATAGCTTTGATCTTCTTGCAGTCCATGGGACTCTCAAGAGTCTCCTCCAGCACCATAATTCAAAAGCATCAATTCTTCGGCAATCAGCCTTCTTTATGGTCCAGCTCTCGCTTCCATACATCCCTACTGGGAAAACCATAGCTTTAACTATGTTGTTGTTGTTTAGTCGTTTAGTCATGTCCGACTCTTCGTGACCCCATGAACCAGAGCACGCCAGGCACTCATGTCTTCTACTGCCTCCCGCAGTTTGGTCAGGCTCATGTTTGTAGCTTCTCGAAGCTACAAACATGAGCTCGAAGCTTTAACTATACGGACCTTTAAATCTTTTTTTTAAAAGGTGATGGTACGGATTGTGGTTGAGTTCCAGGTTGAATTCCACCGTGGCGTCTCCAGGGGGGGCTGGGAGAGAGCCCTCAGTGTAGACTGAGCTAGAGGGCCCCAGGGTCTGACTCTTCCTAAGGCAGCTTCCTATGTCCCTATTGTTCCTCTGTCGGCCAGAGAAGATTGGTGTTGGGGAAGCTCTGGCCCGCCAGGCCACGTGGCTTGTGCTGTCAGGCTGTTTGGGGCAAAGCACGCTCAAGTTTCCTCTAGCTTACATATGACATCAGACACAGGAGACTTCAAGCTGCTCCTTGAAGGAAGAGTTCGCACGGCACACGCTGTGTCCTTCTGAAGCTCCCTTTGCAGCCAGAAGTCACGCTTTTATGATTTAAGTGCCTTTTTCTGCCACCGGATTTAAAAACTGCTAGTTTTTAATAATAATAATAACATTACAGTCATACCTTGGGTTGAATACGCTTCAGGTTGAGTGAGTGCTTTTGGGTTGTGCTCCGCAGAGACCTGGAAGTAACGGAGCGCGTTACTTCCGGGTTTCGCCGATCGCGCATACGGTCAAAATGACGTCACGCGCATGCGCGGAAGTGGCGAATCACGACCCGCGCACATGCAGACGCGGGTTTCGTTTGCTTCAGAATGCGAATGGGGCTCCGGAACGGATCCCATTTGCATCCTGAGGTACCGCTGTAATAATAATACTAATACTAATAATATTAATACTACTACTAATAATTTATTATTTATACCCCGCCCATCTGGCTGGGTTTCCCCAGCCACTCAGCAGCTCCCAACAGAAAAGTAATAATAATAATAATAATAATAATAATAATAATAATAATAATGAAGCGATGAAACATCAAACATTAAAAACTTCCCTAAACAGGTCTGCCTTCAGATGTCTTCTAAAAGCCAGATACAATCGTACCTCGGCTTACGTATCCCTCTGGGTACGTAAACATGGGGATGCGAACGTGGCAAACCTGGAAGTATTTTTCCGGGTTTTGCCGTGCACGCATGCGCAGAAGCACTAAACTGCACCATGCGCCATGCGCAGAAGCGTCCTCCGGTTGCGAATTCCTCGGGATGCGGCCAGACCACTGGAACGGATCCCGTTCGCAACCAGAGGTACCACTGTAGTTGTTTATTTCCTTGACGTCTGATGGGGGGCCATTCCGCAGGGCGGGCACCACTACCAAGAAGGCCCTGAGCTGTACCTACCCCAACTATTACTACTGCCATGGCTGGCATCAAACCCATTTGAACACTTGTCTGGCTGCAGTTTGCAGGGGCCTCTCTTGTGCTGCAACAACGCAAACCGCTTTAAATGCATGCAGTATAGCAATACTTGCGGCCTGTGGAGCTTACCATTAACTTTGTCCCCTGCGCAGGGGCAGCTGTTAATATTTGTTTTCTTTTCTCTTTGATTCTTGCCAAAGACGCTTTGACTTCACGCTTACAAAATATATATATATTTTTAAGCTATTATGTGGATTTTTGCTCTTAACCACACATCAGATTTCCAATACAGTATTTGGAGAGTAATTATGTGATGTTCACGCTGCGGCGTGGGTTTCTTATCTCCTTGCCCCAACTCCAGAGCAATCAGCGGGATTCCTGCTATGACACTGGCAGGCAGCAACCAGAAGCCATGTCCCTGGGCACCAGCCGCTAGCAGGGTGGCTCAGAAGCAGGGTGAATTTGATTTAAAACAAATCGATTTAAATCACTAGTCAGTAAGACTTGAATTAAATCATTTTTTATTTTATTTTTTACAGAAAGACTCATTCTTGCTGTTATAATCTTCATATTTACAACCAGAGGAAGGTTTCATTTTTGGAATATTACATTTTCAGAGTAGTTTTTTTACAATTATATAAAAAAATTACTGATTTGGTTATACAAATAGAAATACATAGACAGATAATTATGAAAGTATTGTGAGGTTTAATAAGTTAACTGTTTATATTTGGACAACTTTTCTGCTGTACTTTATTGGAAGGAGAAAAACAATCATTTTCTTAATAACAATCTAAACAATTTATTTAACTAAAGCAATAAAATTATTGCATATGTATCCATGTTTGTTAACTGATGTAGTTAAACTTTTTTTTTAAACCCTGTTTAGATTGAAAAACAAATCCTTATTTCCTGGTGAATAGCCTTTGGACTATAATGTAACTTAAACAGAAAACTATCTTTAGAAAGATTTTTCCTCCAAAAGCATTTTATATTAGAAATCTGATTTAAATTTAAAAAATCTCTTTTTATTTTTATTTTTTAAAAAACCCCATAGATTTTTATCCACCCTGCTCAGAAGTAGTCGAAGATGCCTTGTGTGTGCTCACTAGCATGGCCAGTGGGTGGGGTCCCTGTGGGTCCCAGACAAATGTGGGGTGTCCCATGGAGGAAGCACGGAGACAGAAGATTAGAGAGCAAGGTGAGATATCTGGGGCAACCCAACAAAAACCAGCGAGGGGGACAAACTAAGATTCCTTGTGGAAATGTCACAACTATTTCTAAAATGTCTGTTGCTTTTAAGTGCGGCGGTTCTTGGCTTCCCAGTTATATTATCCTCAGTAAGTACACCATAGATCTTAGACAGTAGTCGTTTTAGCACTGGACTGTGAGGTCATTCTTTTTTATATATAATCAAGTTAGATTCCTGTTTATTACATATGTCACTGAGGTTTTTAAGATACAGTATCTTATCTGAAAATGCTTATTAAAATAAATGTCCATGTCTTCCCATTTTATTACAGATATCACCGTATTGCAGAATTTGATTAATGCTGGGGAAACCCAATGCTATTAAGAACCAAATAGTTTCCAAATATCATTATCACTGAGGAAATGCCTTCAGACCATATTTCTTTTTGTAAAAAGCAATGACATTAAAGACAAAAACTTAGAACTTGCTGTGTGTGGCTTAGTGTATCATACTCTTGATTAATAGGGTTTTTATTCATCTGGTTAAAACTGGAGAGAAC